AATGTTTTTGGTGCAAGATATTCAAGAGGGTAGGAGTTACACAGTGGAGAAGAACAGAGGTAGATTAGCCCAGAGTGGTGGATCCTGTTAGTGGAGGGAGCAATTTTATGTCAGACCAGGTGCAATGGTCAAGGAGTGGCCAGTAGTGTCCTTGGCCACCATAGATTAATCTTCGGCCACCCCTAGGGTCACCCCAATCATTTGAGGAAACCGTTGTATACTTTTAAGCAGTATAAAAACTAGAAAGCACAATTTTCTCAAGTGACTGGGGTGCCATTTTGTGTGTTTTGTGTGTGTGTGTGTGTGTGTGTGTGTGTGTGTGTAGCCATCTTGAATTTTGACGTGGCAACCAATTTTTTAATAGGGTTAGTTTTTTTACGGTTATATACAGCAACACTCACAGCTTACACAGACGGACAGACCAATGGGCAGAGAGTATTTCCAATTCCCCTTTTTTGCTTCGTGACAGGGGACAAAAAGAAGTGTCAGCCCAACTTAAGAGGTACCTTCAAGATTAAATAAATAAATAAATACACAAATAAACAAAACTATTTTCTTCAACAAAAACAAATCTTTGCTGAAACAGATTGATGCACAAAACACAGGACAAAAACATTTCCAGAAAAATGACAAGGACTTGACCTCAGCTACAAATGCTGAAGGAGCGTTAATTGCTGCAGGAGAGATCTGTTTTATTTATTTATTTTATCTGTCGTGTGGGAGAATTATGAAGGTTGGAATATAATTATGAAGAACAAAATATAAAACAAGAACAATAAACTAAACCAGGAGTATATATTGAGCGTTTATTCGTAGAGTGAAGTCTTCTGAAGCATTCAGGTTTAAATGTTTCTTGAGTCTGCTCCAATATTTTCTGCAGTCTGTCTTGGCTAACCTGATACCAAGTCATTGAATGCAAACAATGGGCTGTTTATCCATGTTGCCGGAGGGCTCACATAAAAATAAAAAAAATGTCTCATTATTTATCAGTGACACAAAAGCCTTCTGATTAGAAAAAAAAAAACCACTCCAGAGAAGGGCTTGCCTGGCCTTTAATTGTTAATGAGCCACCCACTGCTATGCTGCTGCAGAGGGCAAGTCTTTGGTCAGCAAGACAGAAATAGGGAGCTGGAGCCCTGATAATGTCACTCAGAGCTGAAGAAAATGCATTTCACAGGACAAACGTGTTTTAGCAGAGAATAATAGTCTCTTTGAACTTGCTTTGTTGTAAATGACAAACGTTAAAACAGCAGCACTCACATTTCACCTATAGAATAGCAGCTAAATTAGATGTGTATTCTGAATCAGATTTCAAATCATTTATGGCGACCATGTTTGTTTTGGAAAAAGAAACAGCAGCCAATATTGTATGGCCAAAATACAAGATAGACCACCCAAACTAAAATTATTTCAAAATAAGAGCTTTTGACACACTGTGCAGCAAAGGCAAGTTAACAAGAAAGTAGTTTTGCATGATTTAGTCTTTATTTTTTGGTATTTCCTTTTTTTTTTTTTTGCTTTAAAGTTAATGTAGTTGCATTTGACATGACACAAGCTTTGTGCACTTGCCTGCTTGTTTTGGAGTTTAGCGCTCAGCTTGAAGGCTCTCTGATGGAAGTTACTGCTAGAAGTGAAGGCATCACTCATTTATTTTCCCCAGGGGTGCCAGTGGATTAAAACCACTGACCTTTTTGATCACAAAGCTTCGTCTCTAACGCTGCCTCTGCACTCCCAAACTACACTAAAACTGCTTCAGTGTTCTGAAAAATAAAACAGAATCACTCTTGCTGCCTTTTAATCAAACAAAAGGGCCGCGCAGTCGCCTTCATCTCAGCTTTATCACCACTGTGGGAGCACTTTCTCATGCCCCCCAGACAAAACGATGTTCACCAAAGTCAAAGTTTCGCCTGCATCTGTTCCGGTGGTTTCCCTTTTAATGAAAGTATTACGCTGTCACCGCTCAGATTAATTGATAACCATTTATCTGCTTTAAAGTCATTTTATACCTCCTTGTAAAGGATCTTAAAGCCTAATTTCTAAGATCATTGCCATTTTAATGTCCCTTTTCAGTGTTTTTTATGTTTAAAAGCATACAAGGCATAGTTTCTTATCAGTGACAGCTTTGTAAAATGAATCTTCTTTAATATTCACTACTTTGTCTAGGCTCCAATTTCTTCATGGTTTCCTGTCTTATTTTATGAAATACAGTACTTTTGATGGAAAAGCTGATTTAAAATATTATTTGCAACCCCCCCACCTCAGTTTGTAGATGAATATGAAAGAGTTGTAATGCTTTTTAAATTATGTTAAGTAGGATTTTGACATTGACAAGTGAAGCCAAAAAAGCTAGATGCTTGCAACACAGCTCATCCAGACAGGAAGTTGGCACTCGGCGTGCAAGAAGATACTATTCCCAATCGATGCTCAAATGCTCATCCAGGAACATTTCAGAATCTCAACACTCACCTGCTGTGCATATCATTCGTTTTTAAATCGGAGGTGTCTGGATGGAGGATTTAGGGTTACAGCATGTGACTTTGTCTCTAAGTTTGGAATCGTATCCCCCAGTGGGCTGATCAGCTCATCAGAGGCTCATTGATTGGAAGTTCAAGTCTGGGTAAAATTGATATAAATCAGTTGTTTTGGTCATTTTGAGGCAATTTCTCTGTGTGTTTGTTTGACTGTCTGTTATCAAAATATCTCATGAACCACTGAATAGAGTATAATTAAACTGGCAAAAAGTAGTCATTGTGTGTACATCTACAACTGATTGGCAGTTAAAATCAGGATGGATACCACGGCTAGGCAACCGTAGCAAACACAAACATGGCTATAACAGTCAGTTTTACAGAGATACAGTTAAAATTACATGCAACGGTGGCTGAGAGACTAATTCACAACCCATACTCCAAGCACTAAACATTGCATGACAATTCAAACTTTGAAACTTTAGCATAGGCATCAACCCTGTATGTCTATAGAAAACAGAACAAAAACAAAACAAGCAAAAACAACCCCTAACCACTGGATGGATTTTAAAGAACTTGCAGCAAGTATTCATTGGATGCAACTACAAATGTTTAAATTTTGGAGTCAGCCATGGCCATTGCACCTATAGGTGACATTAGTCAACACAAAAATAGCTTTAACTCAGTGAACTTTATTAAAATTCAGCTAAAGTTTGATGTGGTAGTAGTTCATCTTCAACACACTTTCATAGCTAAAAGATCTTGCAATATCACAAAGGCTATATCTTGATAATCATTTACATGATTTAATAAAATGACATAACTTTGGCAATACTCAAAATAAGATGAGTTGAAACCACTGACAATACATTCCTTAAAGGCCTTTAATCGTTTTCTCATGCTCTTTGTTGAGCTACAAAAAGGATTTCTCAACAACAACAAAATGTTTAATAATCTACACAAAAACTCAGCTTTTCAAAAATGAATGTGAACAAACCAGTTTCATAAGCGTTAAAAAATTAAATATATATACTCTATTTTTATTTTTTAATTATTTTATGATCAAAATAGTAAAAGGTGAAGAAAGCACTTTTTTCCATGTCGTCATCACAGTAAACCTGTAGCGTGTCTGATGGGGATATTTTACAACTCACCACATTTAGTGTGTCAGTACACATGAATAGAATCATCTCTAATTACTACAACTTCCCCCTGTGATATCTGATCTGTTTGGCTGCAAATGACTGACCTATTTACCTTCCTATTGTTAGCCGGGTCAGAGTCATGAATATTTTTCTGGGTCAACTATCTCATGAACTTCAGGGTGTTTCTTTAACAAGTTCACACACAGTGGGAAAACGTTACGAAAGTGATCATTTCACAAAGTCTAAAGAAGTTGAATGGAATCAAAGAACATGAGGATTCACAGGGATATTAGCTGGAACAATTATGAGGCTACATGAGCAATAGTGGGAGGTAATGTGATGATGAAAAAAGTTATGTAGCTTAAAAGTAGCAATGAACATCACTTTTGTTGTAATTCTTTATTTTAATATTTCTTTCCAAAGACTCAGGAGACACTGCATTTATTCCCAAAAAATTATCTGGTGTTGTGACTTTATATTAAGTACTTTGTACATTTTTTTTTTGTAAATTGAATAAATACTCAACAAGGGCTTCATTTCGAGGCAACATTGGAACTTGGCATTTCTTCTTTAACACATAGTCTCACGAGATTTGAAAGTTAGTTTTTAAACCTGAACACTTAGAGTTTAGAGAAATTTAATGTTTTCTGGCACAGACCAAACCTGAGTTTTATCAAACTAGCTTAGACATTTTTCAATTGTCTTGGTTAGCCACCAAGTTGTACCAAACGTTCACATGTCCAACTGACATGAAGCCAAATCATTTTGGTGAAGCACTCCTTTGTCATTTTATCCTATTTGTGCAATCTGTAGTAATCTGTAGTTCTACTGACATCAAACAGTCCCAGGGTTTGATGCATAACAATCTATGCAAAGATTGTGTGGTTGATTGTTCCAAATACCATACAGTTTGTTGTGTTAAAAAGTTTTACTGTAATATTTGTCTCATAACAGACAAAGTTATTCCAAGAATTTTTTCCAATGGGAAGATTTGCTGAATGACCTAAATGATCAAAAGTCATCTCTTGCTGTCAGCAGATCATGTCAATGTTTCTTAATATTCACTGCACTGCTCTAAAAATATAACAGATTAATTCAAGCTATTGTATCTCTGCGAGATACAAAATATAAACACGAGATATAATTATGGCTTTGATGAAGAAGATCTGATCCCAGTAATCTGTCTGAAGCCGGCTCTACCTGTCCCTTCATACACATTCCTCTAAAACATGTTCTTGATGAGGACTTTGCATAGATTAGACAAATATCAGCCGCTGGAAACTGAAAAGCCATCTTTTGGTTAAATCTCATTAAAACGCAGCAGAGCGGCTGACTTTCGTTTGACAGGTGACAGATGTGAAGCTCCACGAGGCTCCACTCGGTTTACCTCAACAGCAGCCTTGGCTCGCTCAAACTCCTCCTCCAGGGACTGATGTCTGGACAGGAGGGCGCTCCCCCAACGCTGCTCCTTCGTTAGACGAGCCTGTTACACACACACATTGCACAAACATTAATGCCAAACAAAACTCATTACATAACTGCCTTCACCCGAGACATACATACACATTCAGAGAAGCGTATCACGCACACACAGCCAGAGGAAGAGGCGGGTGGGAAAGCGTGTGCATGGTCAGCCGTTGCTGCTTTCTCAGGGCTGAGTAAACATTCCTGCCTCAACAAAGCCTCTGACATGCTTAGGAAGGCCAGCAAAATCACTACTGTCAGCAACCACCCCCTAAGACACACACATACCCACACACATACCCACACACATACCCACACACATACACCATCTAGTCCTCATCGGAAAAACATGCTTCTCCAGATTTCACCCTCTACCCAAAGCCTGGCTCATTCCTGTGCAGCAGTACATGCAGTTTCATAAATAAGCTTCTGGATTCTCTGTGACAGACGTGACACTTTGTCCTGCTTTGATAGTAAAAACGGACATGCATGTTATTTAGCTGTGTCAGACTGCAGTGTAATTTCCATAATTTTGTCTCACAAACTATGCAAGTAAATGGTTTTAGGCACTCTTTTCATGCTCAGGCGTGATATGAGACTATATAATGTAAATAGCAAAGGCAATTTGTATTCCAGGGCAAGTAAATCTATTACAGAGACCTGCTCTGTTTATTACTTCCTGTGTTTGGGAATCAGGCAAGCCATTACTTGTAATGATTCCCATTTCAGCTGGCTACAATCATACAAGATTCATTTTGGTTAATGCCACAAAACGGACTGAGAAAAATGCCCATTTCATTTACCGAAGATGCCCACAGTTTAGTTTAGAAGAATTGCATGCAGTGTTAAAAACAGCTTGCCAAATTTACATTACCCTCTGGGTGTTTGCAAAATTGCAGTATACAGTACTGCAATCGGATTATTAAAGGAAAAATCCACCCAAAACTGTTGCAAAATCGGTCTGAATTTTTTCAATTTAATTTACTGCATTTAGTATTTGTTCCTAGAAACTTGGGGGGACTCATCATCCTGCTGAGCATAATTAAGTTTTCAACTCAGATTTCAGAAACATAAGTTTTCACTTTTTGAACGATACAACATGTAATAGTTTTAAGTGTTGGACATTGATTATTTCCAAACTCAACAAAGATTATTTTAAATTCATTACAAGAAAACAAAAATCATCAGAAAAACCAAAAACACATTTCTTTGGATTAGAATGAAGGTAAGCTGATCTGAACCAAAATAGTTTTTAGCTCTTCAGTCTATTTGTGCATCTACATGTTCACCTTTGATTTACAGAACTTTTTAAAATGTTATTTAGCTTGGATTTGTGGAATGCATAATGGGAACTGAAAAATGATAAAACAGACTGTTTCATCACATATCCTTGAAGCATAACAATTTTGGAGCCAGCATGTTATCATTAGGTACCATTTATGCTTCTATTTGCTTTATTAGTTCATGTGTAGGTTCTGCTTGAATGCAGCTATTTAACCAGATCATATCACAATGTATTTTTTTAGACTTTATCATAATAATATACTTTAAAGCACAGTTTATTGGTTCACAAGTTGAACAGAATAACTGTGCATCCTTTATTTATTGTCAATGCATTACATTAGTATAAACTTAAAATAATAAAGTTTGCATTTATTTGGTTTCATCCCTATTACTATTTGTACCTTACCATCCTGACAGAAATAACACCTTTCTGTATGCTGAACTTACATTTGCTCAACATGCCAAAATAAAAGCTTATTTATAAGAAAAAAAGGTGGAGTTTTCCTTTATCACTTATGTATTTTTACCTGAATATGTGTGTTAGTCCTGAGTATGACAATCTCATGCAATACTTTTTTTTTCTCATGCAGTTTTTATTTGTACGTGTGATTACGAACAAGTCAGGATGATAAAACTCATCTCTGTCAGTGGGCTACTATGCAATCCCCGGAGGAAAACAAATTTAGTGTTTGTTTGCCAATAACTTCCTTCCATTTGGGACTGCTATCTTTACTCCAAAATCTATTATTTATGGGAGTGCTGAAAAGGTGATATATGCTTAGCTAGCCTGGCAAGATCAACACTAATGGGTTCAGAGTAAGGCGGCTGAATAATTCATGGGCTATTAATCTAATAATGGTGTCTTGAAACAAGACCCCTTATGTAGACCTACAATAAGACATCAACGGAAGAGGAAAGCATTTGACATTTGGACCTCCTTGCACCACAAAGAAACAATCTCACAAATAACAGTACACCTGGGTTTCCTTAAGGCATTTTTTCTTTTTGCAATTAAACTGTTCTTGTTCTTGTAAAGTAAAAATTTCTAAGTTGATGTGATGCTATTGTACCGGTGCAAATGTATGTCTTTCATTGTCATACAAAAGAGTACGTAGGGGAGGCTTACATGTCTTCCACTAATATACTGCTTGTTGAGCTGAAATGGAAGAATTGAAGGTGTTAGGATAAAATGATGGGTCAACAATGGCAAGACAGAGTGACTTATTAAATACAAACTTGAACAACAAGACAACAGTAAAGTGCAGGATTTAAACAGATCTTTTCTTGATGTACAGACACCATGCCATGAAGCGGTTAATGTCAATCAATATTAATGACTGAATATAGTAAACTGTCACTAATTAAATGGATTACAGTAGTGATGATGATCGCATGAGCACTTACTTGTGATGCAAGGGCAGATTCTGGCTCAGCTTTGGTATTTAACTCCATGGCGTTCTTATTCGAAACGTCTGATTGGGTTTTACTGTCTAAAGACCTGAAAGAAAAGGGTGTTGTTTTATGGTCCAACTTGTTAGCAGCAAGTTCATTTGTGGAGGATTTTGCTACGTCAGTGATTGATTTCTGATCAAAACAACAACAAAGGTTGTGACCCACCACAAACACTCATTGGATGCATTTTTAGAAGAACGCCTTCTCTCCAACTTCCATTTTCTGTTGCCGTTCCTCTCTGTGTTGGGATTTAGGTCTTCCCATTTATCCAGTGAACCAATGGTAACTAGGGACAATGATGGAAATGTAGACATTAAGACAAATTTATGATGAGTGTAACTGTTTCAAATAAAAAGGGATTCAAAACACATCCATTCATAGGGCATGGACAAAAAACAAAAAACAATCCAGGTGAAAGTTGACTTGCCCTGAAGATATTTATATTTTAATCTAAACAAATCAGAGTTTCTTTATTTACCCATGTGGTACAAGTGGTGGAACGAAATTGTTTACACAGGGTTCCAGTTACATCCAACAATGAAATGTAAAAGAAAAACAGTACAATACAATATGAACTAAGAAAAATGTTAACTAAAAATATGTTAAGCACTAATAGCATAAAAACAATATGCTGAACAGCAGCACGAACATGAGTCTGTGTGAGCAGATGAGTACAAATGAACACAGCAGCATGAAATAGATCAGCAGCACCATGATGTGATTTTTCACATTGATTATCCTGGTTAGATATTCAAGAGTCTAACAGCCTCAGGGTAGAAGCTGTTCCTCAGTCTAGTGGTTCTACACTTAACGCTCCTTAATCTCCTGCCTGAGGGGAGCGGGGCAAAAAGTGTGTGTGCTGGGTGAGTGGGGTCCTTTATGATGCAGGTGGCCCTCTTCCTGCATCTGGAGGTGTAGATGTCTGTGATGGTGAGGAGACTGACTCCAACAGACTTCTGTGCAGCCTTCACCACTCTCTGCAGAGTTTTTCTTTCTGCAGCTGTGCAGCCTCCATGCCACACATTGATGCTGGAGCACAGGATGCTCTCCACTGCACACCTGAAGAAGAAGGTGAGGACTGAACTTCCTAGACCAGCTCGTCTCAGCTGCCTGAGCCCGATACTAAATTGTAAGAATACTATTACTAATACTAAATACTAATCGGTTAGAGTGAAACAATAGGAAAATATAGCCTTAGAAAGAAATTTATTTCTACAAGTTAAAATACAAATTTTTACCTCCAAGATGGAGGAAAACTGATATACACACACACAATTATTGCCATCGATGTCCAAGAAAACAAAAGACAGCAGCTGTCAATTTTTCCAAGTTTTTCCTTCTGAGGACTATAGTCAGTCTCCCCACCACCCAATTGGACTCATGCTTCAACATTACTTATCCCTCTTACCTTTTCAGCTGGCAAATACAAACGTAATTGGCTGTTTCCTAGAAATGTCTTTGGAGATGATCCCTGTCATTACATTAAATTGCTTTGACCCCTCTGTGGCCCATGCTGAGCATGTGCAAGGTAAGTTCCACAGTGAACAATGGAAATTATAGTCGTGGAGGGTATGGAAGTGAACTGATGGCTGAGGTTTGAATGAGGTTTACAGCTTTTGAAAAACAAGGCACAGTGGTTGATGTTCAATGTAATATTGTGTGCAAACACCACAGAAAAGATCACGTAAATAATAAGATTTCAATGTGATCACCTCGGTACATTTTGTTAGACTCAACCAGGTCACAAATGTGTTTTAGAATAAAATAAATAAATGTAACTTTTCTAGCAGTCAAGGATTGATTTTGATTTTTATTCACCTCTGTTCAGAAATCCTAATAATGATGTGCATTTTCACCTGAGTCAACCGACACCCTTTCTTGGTTTTTCTTGTTCGGTCCTGTCTGTTCCACTTCCACCTGGATCAATTCCGTCTCATCCGTCTTTTTCTTGTTTGCAATGTTCTGCTGGCCATCGCATCGGGATGTCAGAATGCTCTTCCTGTCATTGCTGTTCCTCCTCTCACCAGGTTCACTCAGATCAAGAAGGTCGAGTGTTGAAGACAGAACTGTGAAGAGTCAACACTCAGTTAGGGCAGCTACTTTTAAAAGCATTCATGACAAATATTTCTATATAATGTCACACAAGCAAAGGTGGAGAGAAAGATGGATGCTATCTCTGTCAAACAGCAAACAACTGGTGTCAATAACAGCAACTAGATTCGGATATAATGAAATGAAGTCAACAATGACCACACCTTAAGTGTTTAATTTAATGCTTATGGAATTTATTTCGTAGGTAGAATAATAATTTTCGTGAAATGTTATTAAATATTAACAATCTCTATTGCAGAATAAAATCAAAAGTCAGATTTAGTTTTTACAGAACCTAATGGTTTTGCAGCCTCACATTTCAAAATAAATCTTTGAAAAGCTCACTTATTTCTCTCTTTTACTCAAATATTGTTCTAAATATTGCTAAATTATATTTAAAAAAATTGGTTAAGTGGATAGTGCTGTAGATTATTTGCTAAATAAATCTAGAAAGTTAATTGTCTACTAAATCTATTTATTTTAATTCATGTTTTTAATTAAAAAAAAATCAAATAAAGGCCATTGGTTGTGTAAGTTTTTATTGTTTTTATTTTCTCTTTACCTTTAACTATGCCTAGAGTCCTCTTTAGTTAGAGGCGTGCAGCGCCAGTGTGTAAGAATATTGTTGGAACAATGAAACAATTGTAATCAAACAGGTTTCCTTAATTGAGCATGTTTAGCTTGTGTTTTTTGGGTGTTTTCGGTAAGGGTGCAATTAGCTATCAAGGGTATAATAGCTGAAATTTTACCCCAATGATAGACATGCTCATTTTAGCAAATGTAAATTGAATTAAATAAAAAAAAAATAAAAAAAAAAACATAAAAAAATTATAGTCGATTAGTTAGTTTGAGGCAGCACGGTGGCGCAACTGGTAGAGCTGCTGCCTCTCAGCGAGCAGGTCCCTGGTTCAAACCCCGGTCCAGGGGCCTTTCTGGGTGGAGTTTGCATGTTCTCTCCGTGCATGCGTGGGTTTTCTCCGGGTACTCCGGTTTCCTCCCACAGACCAAAAACATGCATGTTAGGCTGATTGGTAACTCTAAATTGTCCCTAGGTGTGAGTGAGAGAGTGAATGGTTGTTTGTCTCGTTTGTGTCTATGTGGCCCTGTGATGGACTTGCGACCCGTCCAGGGTGTACCCCGCCCCTCGCACAGTGATTGCTGGACATGGGCACCAGCGACCCCCGTGACCCAAAATGGAATAAACGGGTAAAGAAAATGGATGGATGGATAGTTAGTTTGATCTGAGTTTAGGCCAGAGGCGAAGAAAGAAAACTTTCTGTTGGGAAGTTTTAATTCTTCAGCCACTTTTCTTTCATATATTGTTCATTGGATTGTTTATTGTTTTACCATTCACCTGTCCATCTTCTTTAAAATACACAATTTTTTATCATGAGGGCAGGTGTGCTCTTAAAAATAAATGACAAATTGAAAAACACAAAACTGAACAAAACCGTTCCAGCAGATGTGAATAAACCTAAAGGCTGCTACTTCAGAACAAACACTAACATTATTTTGATTAGAAGCTAAACATGCAAATACATTATTTTAATGATATTTTGCACATAAGTAAAACCAATTGTTTTGACCTCACATAACCAGTGTCATGCAGATCTTCATGAATTGGATTTACCATCAGATTAGAAATAAAATGTTTTGGAAAAATTGTCAGATCATAATCCAAACTGATAAGAATGCTGCAGCTGTGGTAAACCTCAATAAAAACAAGATTTTTATGCCTCTAGTTTGAAGAAAATTACAGTTTTCTCATTCTCATCTTCAGGTATCCTGACTGTGTCTTTTGTGCAGTGGGAGTTCATAATGACAGGAACATCACTGCATAATTGCTGTTTGATGACAACAAACTGGGAGAGTTTGTTGACTGAAATCTGTGTGTAATTAAAGCGTGTGCTTGTTTTTTCATGCCTCGTGCTCCTAAATCCTTTTCCTTAGATGACAAGCATAATAATCAAATCAACGTAGACACAACTATGAGAATTTTTGTCTGAACAGTTTTCAACATTAAACAGGAGCACAAGTTGCTCTTTAACTAACAGTTGTGCCAAAATCTGTATTGTTCAAAACTGTTCTTTCCTCAACGATGCAACTGAAAATATATTCAGCCAATCGTTTGCTATTTGATGCCCAATAGAAGCGGAAAAAAGTAAATTTGACTACAAAGATTTTAGGCAAAATTTAGTTTAGGCAAATACCTTCATAAATTATTGTTTTGCTTTCACAGAGCCTCTAACACATGTTCTCTATACATCCAACTATCTAGATGAACTAGTAAACATTAGCAAAACAGAGATGCAATTATAAAACAATACTGTAACAATGAGGGGGAGTGGTGGCGCAGAGGTTAGAGAAGGTGTGCCTGTACTTTGAAGGTCGCTGGTGACTCCCTGTACCAACAACATCAAAATGTGGATGGGGAAAAGTGAAACACCTGCCTCCACCCTCATTTGCCCCACTATGGGTCCTTGAGTAAGGTCCTTAACACCCACCATCTGTTCCCTCGGACACCCTAGATAGCAGCTCTCTGCTCCACACAGAGGGCTGTGGTAGCTCGGTGGTCTGTGGTCATGTCAGTAAGGGCATCCGGCGTAAGAACAATTGCCAAGTCTTCATGCGAGTTAGTTCACTGTGGCGACTCCTGAAGAAGGGAGCAGCCAAAAGAAGACGAAGAAAGAAAATAAACCAATATGTACTAAGCTAATTTTTAAGTGAAAACGTAGTGTTCTTCTTCTTTCAGCTTTCTCTCTTCAGGGGTCGCCACAGCGAGTCAACCTCCTCCGTCTTATTCCGTCCTCTGCATCCCCTGTCCTCACTCCAACTATCTCCATGTCCTCTCTAACTGCATCCATGTATCTCCTCATTGGTCTTCCTCTTTGTCTTTTTCCTAGTACCCACTGTTCCTCCTTTGAACATGTCCAAACCATCTCAGTCTGGCCTTTCTGCTGGCCTCATACATGGCCTGCACCAATTTAACATATCTGCAACTACAGATTTACTCATACCATACCTTCTCCCTCTGCACTCTGTCATATGCTTTTCTAAATCCACAAACACACAATTAAGTTCTTTCTGACCCTTTCTCTATTTCTCCATCAACATCCTCAAAGCAAAGATGGCATATGTGGTGCTCTTTCAGCATGAAACCATACTGCTGCTCACAAATAAATAGTCACCTCTTGTCTAAGTCTAGCTTCCACAACTTTCTCCCAGGTCTTCATTGTGTGGCTCATCAACTTATTTCCCCTGTAGTTTGCTACAACTCTGTACATCACCCTTGTTCTTAAAAATGGACACCAGCACACTTCTCCATTTCTCAGGCATTTTCTCACCCTCAAATATGCCATTGAATACTTGAGTCACAAACCTCACTGCCGTCTCTCCTAGACATTTTCAAACCTCCAGTGATATGTCATCAGGTCCTACTGCCTTCCCCTTCTTTATTCTTTTCAGAGCTTTCTAAACTTCACCCTCACTAATCTTTCCCACTTCCTTGTCCACAGCTTCTATGACCTCTACTCTTCTTTCCCTTTCGATCTCTTCATTCATTAGTGCCTCAAAATGCTCCTTCCATCTTCCCACCATGGTCTCCTCACTTCTTAGAACAACACCACTCTTATCGTTCGCAAGCCTATCCTGTTGCACATCCTTTCCAGCCTGATCCCTCTGTCGCACCAATCGTACAAATCCTTATCACCCTTTTTAGGATCCAGCCTCCTATACAAGTCATCATGCACCTTCTGCTTTGCCTTAGCTAACTCCCTTTTTGCTCTATGTAGTATCTCCTTATATTTGTGTCTCTTCTCTTCAGTTCTCTCACTGTCATATTTTTTCTTGGCTAACCTCTTTCTTTGAAGAGCGTCCTGCACTTCACTATTCCACCACCAGGTTTCCTTATCATCCATTCTCTGTCCAGATGACACACCAAGTACCTTCCTACCGGTCTCTCTAATACTGTTGCTGTAGTAGCCCAGTCATCTGGAAGCTCTTTCTTATCACCCAGAGCCTTTAACAGGTCCTCTCTGAATTTCTCAAAATATTTTTCTTTCCTCAGCTTTCACCATTTGGTCTTCTTTGCTGATTTTACTCTTTTTCTCTTCTTCACAACAACAGTCATTCTGCACACAACCATCCCAAGCTGTCTGGTCACGATCTCCACACCTTTACAGTCCCCAATCTCCCTCAGGTTTCCTCATCTACACAGAATGTTGTCTACTTGTGTGCTCCTGCCTCCACTCTTATAGGTCACTCTATGTTCCCGCTTATGTTCCCTCTTATGGAAATTAATGTTGACTACAGCCATTTCCATTCTCTTGGAAAAATCCATTCAACTGATCCATCTGATGTTTACCATCGATCCAACCTGGCATCTTTCCTTGGTACCAAACTTACCCATCACTTCCTCATCCCCTCTGTTTCCTTCACCAACATGTCCATCCAGGTCTGCTCCGATCACCACTCTCTCCTCCCTGGGAATACTCTTTATCACTTCATCCAGATCTTTTCAAAATTTCTCAACCAATTTCTTATGTTCTAAGATAGTGCTATAGCTATAATTACTTTATTTGAATATATATATATATATATATATATATATATATATATATATATATATAGTTTAAGCTAGGTTTTTCTTTCTTTTTAAGATATTCTAAACATTCCCAATCATTGCACTTAAAGAAAGATTGTGGCAAACTTGAAAAGTTTCAGAAAAATTTGTAAATCATGATAAATTCTGCTCTGTCCATGTTGATGACAGAAGGAGCAGCAGAAGGCTTTAAGGAGACAGACGTTTCAGAGCATCCCACAATGTTCTTCCATATTTCTCTCGGCTGAATCAACACAGTCAGAGGCCAGTTTGGAGATAACACATGTCAGCTGTGCAAACTATCATTGAGAGGATGGTACAACTCACTGATCAGTGTCCATGAAAGTATCAAGATGACATTTAGCATCTGCTACAATAATAAAGTCACGATTATTGTCAATGTGCAAACCATGGCAATTAGAAAAGCTCAAAAGAAATAATCTAATGTTGTTTTTGCCTTTCCACTGATTTTTTTTTTAGCATTTCAAAGAAATAAAATGATCACTGTCAACTGTTTCTTGACATGGATCAAACTGTTGCATAACAATTTAAGAAAATACTGATTTTATTGGTTTATTTTCTGATAATTCAGCTGAATGTTGTACCTACTGTGAACAGAAACATTACCATCACTCTTTAGGCTAACATCACATGACAGAAATTTGATCATTTTTAAAAATCCTCTGAATCAGAGCAATAAATTATAAATGGATAGTAAAACTTTTTCATAATTAGTAAAGTATTGATCTTTTAAGAAACCAATATAATTTGAGTTCCTAAACGTTAAAAATCAACCACTTTAATAATGATTTAAACAACTAATGGTTTTGCAGGCACCATTGGTCATATGCTGCAAATGAAGTTAATGTGGTAGTACCAGTGATAAAACATGGGCTTCCTTTAGCAGACACGGTATTTTTAGATAAAATAGAAGCATTTATTAAAAGCGCTATCAGTCTAGTTCCTCTTGAATTTGGTGTAATCAGCAGTTTTACAGACTGAAAAATAAGAGCTGTACCAGCTGTGTTGGAAGTCACTGGGCGGGAAATCCCATCACATTTGGTCTCGCAGAGGAAATCATCGATGGAAGGACTTAATAGCGGCCGGCTCTCTTGTTGCTCGCTCACCAGCTGTAAGGACAAATGGATGGGACAGTTCAAGCTTCAACTTGGAGTGCTTTTTTGAAATTCATGTTAAATCCTCTGCATATACCCCCCAGCTTTACAAACATAAAGTGAAGTTCTGCTCTTTGGCCATGATTCACATGACAGCAGTGTTCTTGTTCCGACAAATCCCTGCATCAGAAAACAAAGTTTTAACTCAGACGTTTTAAATGGGGGAACACACGTACGCTCTTTTGTTACACATATTTTATTGAGAAAATAATTAGAAAATTGAGTTTTGTGATTTGTCACCTCATGGCATATCATTCAAATGTGTTATGTTTTTAGATATAGTTTGGTACAAAATCTTGGACCTCTTTTCATCTCATCTTACTTCCAAATACTCTGACTTTTTAAAACTTTTCATGAATATTCCAGTTTTACAGGTCTTTTTGAACTATTGATTTATCATAGGACCACTTAAAATAATAAACCATCAAAAGGCCATTACTACAAATATTTTGGTTCATGTCTGTAGTTCATTAATATTAGTAAAAAAAAACAATTTTTTTTTCCTATTTCTCAGGTCTAAAAAGACTCTGAGCAGGCATTAAATAATACATTTGCAGGTATTTCATAAATAGCTATTTTAATATAATGCATTGCCCAGGCCTTTGGAAGATCTTGGATTTTTCTCCTGTTTCTTAAAAATATTACTTTAAACAATTTTTAATCCACTGTAGATAAACTCACCTGTCAACGTTCTAAAGATTATTCTGCATAAAATTCCAAAATACACCAAAGTTTGGACTGTGAAATTTTAGCAATGACCTTGTTAGTGCAAAAAAATACTGTTTAAGCAATTTTTGTACATGAAGCAATAAAGGGTGAACTCATATTGTTTATTAAGACATCCTGCCAGGAACAAAGAGGCAGAAGATTGAGTTTTTAATTTTGTTTTTGACAAGTTGTCGTTTATTTTCTTTGCACTTATATGTCTGAAACGATTCAAAAGTCAAAACTAGATGTAAATGATTTACTGAGAATCAGATTTCTAAGTAACATGCACATACCAATACAACATTGTTTATATCAGGAATTAAAAACAGCACCATAAAGTTTCTTGTGTCATTTTATGACAGAGAAATGAACAGGCTACTGAAATCCATGCACAAGGTTTTCACCCCATGATCGCTAATGACCACTGTACCATGTTGGACCCAACGAACATGTCCCAACAGTAACTATTTAACTATCACTGCACAGTTCACCTTCCAAACCATGGAAATGCTAATCTCTCCTGATGTGTCAATTTGGAACGAGCCACATCCAGTTCATTATCAGCACTCTGATGCCTCAATACGCTCCAGGTGCAGCTGGAAACAATTTGCCAGCCAATCCTTCATAATTCAGAGATGAAAATTAGTTTTAGCCCAACAATACAAATAAGTCACCATTACAGTTGCTTGCCAGCTTGTGTAGAGTGATGGCAAGGAAACATAATGTTCACTAGTGTTGTTCTTTTGGCTGCTCCTGCAAACCGAATTTTAATAATGATGCAGAGGGTTTAATTACAAAGGATGAAACACACAATCTGACATACGCTGGCTGAAAAGTGCTGGGGGATCCAACGCTGTACACGCTCTGAGAATATGTGTTTCATGTTTGTGCATGCAATAATAAAAATTAATATATATTTAACCATCTGTTAAAGCTTGGAAACTTTAAACTGGCCATCACTTTTATCCTAAAATATTCCACTTGTCACGTTTCTGCAAGAACTCAGACAGAAGATGACTGTTAATGGCTAACGAGAGGCTTACTAAATTAATTTTGGTTTACTCTTCACAAATTGCTATTTTATTATTATTATTATTTTTGATGTTAGACAAAAAGATGAGTAAAATGCTGAGATCTAGTTTTAAGAGAAGCTTCTGCAGCTCTCAGGAATCTTTTCTCAGGAACCCAGAGAGGGGTCATGTCTTTGTTGTGTGAGGGTTTGTGCTGCGCCGCGAGAAAGCAGAACCTGCACAAGTAATTAGGTTGTTTGAGAAATTGTGCTGGTGTCAGAATAAAGATGTGGTTCTCAGGAAGTCTTATTTTGTGAAGTAAACTGTTTTGATTCCAGCTGCTGCCGCTTTGCTAAGTTCTTAACCACAGTCAGAGAATGAATCACCTTTTTAAAAGAACAATCTTTCTTTGTCAATAATTTGCAGACCCTAAGGTTGATTTAGTCTAAATGATGACGAAGTCACTTTTAACTGTCAGTGATGTGATGAATTTGAGCTTTATTTCCTTGTGGTTTTTACAAATTCTAAATACTAACCATACAACAGCTAGCTTTAAGGAGTTTCTGTTGCCTGTATTATTGTATATTTTTCAGACTATAAGGCACACTTAAAATCCTTTAATTTTCTCAAAAATCAACAGTGAGCCTTATAATCCAGTGCATCTTATGTATTAATTCTGGTTGTGCTTACTGACCTCACATCGATTTTATGTGGTACACGACACTCAAAAATCGGTCAAAATGTTTTAGTTTTGCTTAATGCCCCTTATAATCCGGTGTGCCTTATAGTAAGAAAAATAAGGTAGTAATTATTTGCATGTTCATCTTAAACAGTATTTAGATAAAATGTTGGTAAATCATTGGTGAGACCAAAAAACCCCACCAGCCTTGACAGTAAGAGACAAAAGCAGCCACATTCAACTTGTTGTCATTACTATTTATTATAATATTATAATATAACTTTTCATATCTATATGCATGAGTTTACTGAATTTATAATGAGTTGTTATAGGTTGAAAATCAATCAATAAATACAAAGCAATTTATATATTGGTATTTTTTTCCATAACTTTCAATGAACTAATTCATTAAACTTAAACTTTTGTGACTTAAAAGTTGTCTAGGAAGTCGGATAATTATCTCTTTTTTCACTATTTGTTTGACGGGAAGCAGAAAAAAAAAACTTTTCATCAATCAATTCTTCTTTACAGACTCTGCTTCAGGGAATAATTTTAGTAAACATCTAACATGTCACATCTAAAAAACAAAAACAGACAGCTACTGAAAAGCGAAACTAAAAATCTGAACACTGTTTTTGATATATTCTTATTACGAAAATGTCATTTTATAATTTCACCTTTATTACTTGGGACAGTTTAACCCCTTTCTTTGATTTTTTTTTAACACCATCATAACCAATAAAACATTCCAGAAAGTTTCATTTTTATGAACTGTTCATCCAGTTTTCTCCACAGGTTGTTAAAATGTTTGGCTTTTGCTTTTAAAAGATAAAGAAGTGGATGCATGCAGAAAAATCTAAAAAAGTTAAACCTGGTCCTCTGGACATTTAATATCCAGAAGACCAGATTTAACTTTTTTAGATAAAGAAGTGGAGCTTTAGGAATAATAAACCAGGTAAACTTAGTTGTTTGGGGAGCTGCCACTGTGAAAAATTAGCACAACTTTTTTCATGGATCATTCATATTTTTTACATTGTGCACATCACAGTGTCTGTTTACAAACTGCTAGTTGACTCGTCTGTAAAAAGGCAGCAGTGTCCAGAGGAGACCTCAGAGGAGACCTGAGGGCTGGAAACAGAGAACGTCTCTGCAGAGTAAATGACATTCACGAAGGCTCGGGCTCACAGCAGATGAGAGGACGATGACTAGGAAGCTTCTGTCAGTGAGCACCACTTTTCACGTTGTTTTCAAAGCATCTGGTGCTGCCTGACTTGTTTAGTCTATATTTACATGATACAGCAGACAACTTTATTATTTTTTCTCTTTTCTTTATTTTTCATGAAGGTCAGTTCTTTTAATAGATCATTTGAAGCACCCTATATATTATAATCCTTATGTAACGCAGTCATTCCAGACACTTTCAGAAAATAAAGAGTTTCTGACAGGATTATGCCTTAAAGCCCTGCTGAGTCATACACTGCTGAAAGCTAGCTGTGTCAGCATTTCTGAGGAAATACGACAAGGCATTTACAAGAATATTACTGTAATAAACTCCAGTCGACTTGTTGCTGGATTTACTTGCAGGAGAAACATATTAGGAGAAGATGATATATTATCTGAATTATTCAACACTGATCTCATCCTGCAGTTGACTTTAAAGAGTTGACTTTCTTCTACTGCTTGACTTTACTTTTAAGTGATTTATGTTCTAGAGATTTAGAAAAATGTGGTGAATCTGACACATTAATGGTTAAAGCTGCTTTCAGATGATGAATAACAAATAAAAACCAATTAATGTATGAATCTAAACTTTATTGTGCATTGACAGTTTTGTCCATTTCTGTTGTTTCCTCCCTTTATTTAGGTTGTTTAATAAAAACTCAACTTGTGATTGTTTTAACTTGGGCAGAGAGGAACCACAGGGACCTGACTTTTCATTTTCCCATTAATGATTTTTTCCCCCATATAGTTTCAACAAACATGGCAGCTTTTCTTCAAGTTATAAAGTTGTTTACATAATTATTGTAATAGTTGTGTTGCCACAAACCATTTCCTGTGATTTGCAATTCAGTGGAAAAGACGTCATCCTAAGTTTCCTTCTCCACTAATCCAGAAAATAGAGACCGGCAATCAGCCATTTTTTGGTCCAGGGTGATGTGTCATGCACAACGCAGGTAGCATGCAAATACTAATTATAGGTAAACCCAGAAGAGGAGCTTATTGAGCTGTTTGCTTATTACTCTCACCTACATGGAAGCTGGTGTCGTCACCTGCTGACATTTACCGCTCTCACTCCCCTCCCACGATACCATTTTTCCACATCTCCTGTGCGAAGCATTTTTGTCATTTTGTTTACAAGTGCCATGAGAGGTAATCTAGAAAATTATGCAATGGAAAAGCTCAGCTAATTGTGCCACTTGGGCTTAACTCCAGGAGATCTCTTAGATGCTGTTGCCAAGGGAGCTGTGTAGTTAGACTTGAAACCTTGGAGGAGGAGAGACTGAGAGGAGGACAGGAGGAGACAGCAAAGACAGAAAACAAGCCACTGGATGAAGAGTAAAAGTATAATAAAATCTGAATAACTGTTAAAAACAAAAATAAATCATATTAGGCTAGCAAATGTCTTATGTTTTATAAATACAAACTGTTTAAAATTTATTTAAAATTCTTTTGTTTCTGTATTTTATTGAGAAAGTTTGTCATTTTGATTATTTTCTCATTTTTAAAGATCTTCTGTAATACGTCCATAAGACTACACTGCAGTTTTGAATTTTACACGTTTTTGTATTAGATTCACATTAGTCTTTGGTCTAAACTTTTCTTGCCTCTAGTGGTCAGGTGTATAGTTAGCAAACCAACTCATTTTAAAAGTTTGAATTTTTTACAATTTAATTTTATAATGTTATAAAATGTTCTCCTGTCATCTAAAGAAACATGTTGAGTTCTCAACAAACTCCCTTCGACCAACATGGAGGCTTTTCTGCATGTTGCTTTAAATTTTATTGTTTGTCAATGTCAAACTTTGGATATTAAGTTATTTATCACCCGTTGCCAAACTTCACTTCTAAAATTCAAGATGTTTCCCACACCCATTAACCTAACGAACACAAACATGATTATAAGTGACCTTCACAGATAACTAAAATTTGGTGTGGCAGTAGATGAGACTCATCCCCAACATACACAGATCTTTACTTTAGGTACCACAATTGAAGATGACCATCACAACCAATCAACCTTGAAAGACACAAAAGTTGCTGTAATTTACATATTTTGAGCTGACATTTGATGTGGCAGCTGCTAAAAGTCATTCCCAACACATAGAGTGATCAGAAGAGATCTCACATAAAGCATTTTTATATTCATAAATACTACAACTCTGTCATATTTGAACATAAAATGATCTTCGTTTAAAATGCTGACATAAAAAGATGGCAGGCTAAATGCATTCTTCTGAGGAATGATTGGCTTTTAAATACATAATTAGGACCACATGTCCATGTTTTACTGATAAACTCAACAATATATGGCGGCGCGAGACGTGTTTCCTTCTGATAGCATTAATCTACAACACAAAGCCAAAGCTTAGTTACCACAAGTGAAAGACAAAGGTTTCATTAGTCATTCAGTTTGTGTTTATTTTACTGAAAGAGTTTAACCATTGTAGCATAAAAATGAAGTCCTTACCCAGGAGGAAAAAAACATCCATGGAAGAACCCTTTTATTTTTGCAGCACAGACATAAAAAATTAAGCAGCTGCTTTTTGTAAAACAATGCTGACTTGCAGCAGCTGCACCCTCCTGCATGTGAGCTTGCAAAAAGTTTGTATTTAAGTTAATACAATAACCAGCTTTGCTTAATTCTAGGAGTTTATATTTGGCATGCAATAATTGTCTTACCTTTCTAACTAAACATACGTGCATGTCTTAAACAATATACTTGTATATTCTACATAAAACACAACAACAGTGACTGAAGTAAAAGCGTTTGTCCTACGTTTGACTCAGTGTTTTGTTCTTCTTATGGTTAGCCTGCACATCATTCACGGGAATTGTAGAAAATATAAAATCTGTTTAAATGTGAATAAATGAATTTGTATTAATAGCATTTCATGGTTATCTTAAAATCTGACTGCCAATCACTTGAGCTAAGTGCAATTATTTTACATGTGGTAATAGTTGTACTTATTTTTGAGCAAGTATTGAACTCATTGCACTTTTAAATAGTCTTAAAATAAGAAGGAAATCTATCAGTTGAAAAATTGATAAAGAAACTGAAAGTAAAACTGGGCTTCTTTTTTATAAACTGATCCTGTCTAACGCTGAACGATAGGCAACACCTTGTAACTGCGACTTTCCTTCCGGTAATAATACGGTGATATTATTTCCATGAACACTCCTATAAGCACCTTGCAGATGTTGGATGCTGTCTATCATGGCACACTAAGATTCATAATGGGCTGTAACTACCGTACCCATCACTGCACCCTGTATTCATTGATTAACTGGTCATCATTAACTTCACGCAGACTCTCCCACTGGTACATTTTCATCTTTAAATCACTCCTTGGTCTTCTGCCTTCATACATCTCCTAAATGTCACTTCGCTACAGTGTGTGCTCTCAAGACATCATTACCTGCAGTGTCCCCTCAGTGCAGATCAAACTAGGCAACAGGGCCTTCTCCTACTCCTGTAACCTGGAACATCTTGCAAAAACATCTGAAGATGTCGACTTTGACCACTTTAAATTATTTTAGACAACCGCTAAGTTCATGGCAAAAACCAATACAGACACGTTCCTGTTTGTAGTTTTTTACACCGTTTTATAATGGAGCTGTTTTTGTTTTGTTTTTATATAATTTATTTTATTTACTTTTCATTTTATATGTTTTTATATGATCACCTATTGTTGTCTGTACCTCATCTGTGTTCTTTGTTTAAGCAGGTCTCTCTTGTAAATGAGTCGTCATGACTCAGTGAGACTAACCTGTTTAAATAAAGGTTGAATGAAAAAAACATCAGTGAAGAAAGCAGAGGACTAATAAAAATTATGAGAAGTTGATATGTGTTGACTCAGTCTTTCTTGTTCTATTATTGAGACGGTTGTCTGTCCTGTCCTCTCCTGTCTGCACCTCCCTGTTTTTTCTTCTCGTGTTCCTGCTCCTGTGCACAGCTGACCCAAATCCTAATCACTGCAGGTGTTCCTCACTCGTTTCATTAGTGTCAGTATAAAGTCTCTATCTGTTCACTCCCTTTAGTATCTGGGCATTAGGTTCTATCCTTTTCACTGTGTCCACGGTCTGGTCTGCTCTTCTTTTGTAATATAAGTTTTGCTGCCACGTCAGCATTTTTATTTAATAAAGCATTATTATTTTTACTCATGAGTCCTCCTGCCTCTGCCTGCACGTGGGGTCGACAAATAACGCCAGATCATGTCAATTATACAGAAATTTAAAGTATGGCAAATTTTCGTTTTCAACATTAAACAGAAGTTATTTTAAAGTTTATAATGTAAAACGTTGCTGCTATGAATGTGCTGATAGTCTGAAAATGCTGAGCAATTATTACCTCCCTTCCACTTCACTGGGAGCATGGTCTCAGTTCTTTGACAGCATATCAAAGCAAACATTGTAATAAAAATGAAAACATGTAGCATGGCACAGGTTCATAAAACATGGACAGAAATAAAAGAGAACACACACACACTCACACACTTTACTATAAGAAAAAAAGCAAACAACACGACGACTAAAGCACAGACTTAATTTGGCTAAAAACTAATAAAGCACATAGAAACACTAAAAGCAGAGCTGCAGGTTGTTTTTTATTACAGAGTTCAGACAGTAGCTCAATGCCATGCTGTGCAGCAAAGCATTTTTGCAAATGCATTTGTGCACAGCTTGTGCTGCTGAGGATTAGCTGCTTATGAGGTGTAAAAAATCATGAATAAGTTTTATTTGACCCAATCAATTATTTATGGAGACCCTTGCATGAAGCCCTCTGTACAGAGCTAAGTATCCTGTATGCTAAATTTTAAAAGCATCATAAATTTTGCAGAGGCTAATTGGAAAAGATAAAAAAGTCATATGGATTATAGCAACAAACTGAGGCTACTTTATAAGATTATTCCTTGAGTAAATGTTGTGACGGAGTTTAAGAGTTTTATACCCCATAGAGCAGCTGGGAATGAAATAATAATCACTCCTTTTGTTAGATACAACAGTCATAAGCCTCAAGAAATGAGTTAGTAGACAGTGGAGGTCGGTTATAGGACACTTAAAGCTTTGCCAGTGATTCAGTGTCACCAACACATGAAGAATTTCCACTTAAAGACGTGGGGGTGAGGACAGAGGGGTCTGGAATGGATCTGCCCACCTTGGTAGTCACTGTGAGGAGGGGCTTCCCTTCTGATGACGCCTTACTTGGTATCTCCTTCAGGACCATGGCAACAGTCTTATCTGCAGCCCTAGAGTCTTTCCCCTACAACAGTGAAATCAACAATGACTTTCGTCAGGACAGTTGGATAACGTCAGAGCTTTTTGCCCCCATTTAAGAGGACCTTACAGAAAAGAGTTCATAATGTGTGATTGCAGGAGGAGGGAAGGGAGGTGAGGTGTCTAACACCGCGTGTAGACATTTCCACAGCACTATGGCAATGATAAGGGGGGTCACTGCACAATGTACACATTAGACTGCAGACACACGTGAGTATGGTCATCCACAGCAATACTTTTAAACACTAGGATGGCAAATTATTAAAAATAGATTAATTTGTTATAACTCTAAAACATGAATGGGAAATTAATAATACACTGTGATCTCAGCTAAAACTACAGCCAGAAAAAAACTGAATCTTAGAAATAAACAAATGGATAAAATGAAACTATTCTAATATGTACAATATTTACAACCAAAGTATCTTCTCTATTTCTAGATTTACCTTTTAATGTTTTAGTTTACATGTAAATTTACGATGTACCAGTGTGAATAAAATTGTGCTTTTTATGTATTTGATTTCAGATTTGGGATTGAACTGGTTCACTGGTAGACAAAACATATTTATTGCTACTGCCTAAATTATTTTTCATATTTTTTTAACTGTATTTTCATTTAACCTGATTTGCATTATGTATAATAAAAATTATAATTTTATGTAAATTTATTTAAAATGTAAAACAACTAAACAAAACATTATTCTGTTAATGCCTCACTGTGGTTGAAATAGAAGAATATAATCTTGACATTTCATCAATAGTGTTTTTTTAAAGCATTTTACACACATTGCTGTTTGGATGGCAGTTGAAACTATATTGATTTACCATCAGTCATGGTTCAAAATTAATGTTTATTTATTGCATTCTTGTTGTATTGAAGCTTCTCAGACAGTTGAGGTACACATTGTGTGGCTTAAAGACAAAATGACTATTCTGGTTCTGAATTGGGGTTTTTCCCTTCATACAAATTATGTATTTTGTCAATAACACATTTCAAAATTGAGAAAAACCTTTAAACTCCTCAGCAGTTTTGTTTAGTGAGTGAGTTTTCTTTGTGGTGATCACAGTTGAAGCTTACGCTCATACTGAAACCTGTTGTGTGCCACAGTATTTATTGCTCACATAAGTGTCTGTACCTGCTTGTTGGTTTGTTAGCAAAATATCTCATGAACCACTGCCCTTTTTTCAATGAAACTCAATAAGCAGTCTTTTGATACACATCTACAACAGATTGCCTTTTGACATGATTTTCAAGATGGCTGCCACACCTTAGCAACATTAGCTAACACAAAAATGACTTATTAAGTTATAAGTTAAGAGTTATTAAGTACAAGTTATTCTTACAATTAACTGAGCTAAAATTTTATGTGAGTCATTACCAACACATACTACGAGCACTAACAGATCAATAGATAACTGCCCTCTATGGACCATCATCAGCCCATTGTTAAACCCACCCACACTAACCAGTACTTGTAGTTTGACTCCCATCACCCTCTGGAGCACAAGTTAGGAGTCATCAGGACTCTGTATCACAGAGCAGACAGCATCCCCACTAACTCAGGAGCCAGGCAGAAGGAGAAATCCCACACAAGACAGGCTCTAGAGCAATGTGGATATCCTAACTGGGCATTCCTGAAAGCAGAGAAGAAGCCCAAACAGGACTCCAGTCAGCCATCAGGTGAAAAGGAGGAACCCAGACCAGAGAGTCAGAGTCAGAGTCAGAGTTTCTTTATTGTCATTCGCACCTCATGTGGTACATGTGGTGGAGCGAAATTATGTACACAGGGTCCCAGTTACATCCAACAATAAAATGTATAAGAAAAACAGTAATAACATCTAAGATATGGAATGACCAGTGGTCATTCCATATGTTGAGGGGTTTCAGAGACGTTTATTTTCTAAACATAATGTCCCAGTGGCTTTTAAACCCCAAAATACATTACGGCAAAGACTGGTTCATCCCAAAGATCCAGTCCCCCGGCACAAACAGAGTAATGTTGTGTATGCTGTTCAGTGTCAGGAGGGCTGTGATCAGTCTTACATCGGGGAAACTAAACAGCCACTGGCCAAAAGGATGGCCCAGCACAGAAGATCAACATCATCAGGCCAGGACTCTGCGGTCTACACTCATCTCCAGGCCAGCGGTCACTCTTTCAGTGATGAAGATGTTCACATCCTGGACAGAGAGGAACGATGGTGTGAGAGAGGAGTAAAGGAGGCCATCTTTGTGAAAAGAAACCATCCATCATTAAACGGGGTGGAGGCCTCCGTGTTCAACTGTCCCCCTCTTACAATGCTTTTATTGCTAGTATCACTCAGCCCTCTGTGAATAGTAAACAGCCATCAGGGCTCTAACAACCAATTGTCAGGCTGATGGTCCTCCTTGATCATGTGAACAGCTAGTTTTGGATGTCACCAGCAAACTGGCTGATCCACTATGAGAAGGTGCTATTTATAAAACTGAGTTTATTGCAGCGCCTCAGACTGAAGTCTTCGATAAAAGATGAACCGTTTAAACAAAGAAAAATCTGTCCAGAGGACCTGACTTAAACTGGTTAGACAGCAGTGTTGGCTATGTCTGATAACTGCTAACTCTACTCCACATGTAAATCAAATTGATTATCTGACTTTAAGACAAAGATTAGACCACACATTCTTCTAATTCAGAACAGGCACCTGCTCAAGCTAAATGACAGATATTTATTGTATGCCATTAATCACTTTAAGAAATCCTGAATAGGCAGAATCCCAGAGTTCTTAAAATACAGAATGCTCGTATGCAGATAAATGTAGTGAAAGCTGTCATTCATCACACTCTGGTTTTACGTTTTGACTCAGTGAAGCCCTCTGTTCAGAACATGAAACAAACAGAAAGCCTTTTAGCCAAATCTTATTAGGCCATTTTATATTTCAGCTTGCAAGAAATAATAAATGAGGTTTTTCTTCCACTGATGTCCTCAAATGATCAAATCCCAAAATGCATGTACCGAGCCCAGAGGTAGACTTCCCTTAAAAGCCCAATGCTCTTGATAAAGCACCTGCTCCCTGTCTCTGGCTCAGACTCACTCAGTGGAAATCAACAGCATGCTTTGCTCAGATGTAGCCAGGAGCGAGGCAGCATCTGCAAAGAATACATCAAAAAATGTGGTTGAAGTTGTTTGGCCTAAACTGAAAACGAGATGTTGAATGTTTAAATGTTGCAAGACAATAGAGTGGAGGCTCATCCACTAGCCCAGAAATTGTTTGCATTGATTTACAAGTTTGTTTTACACAATTTGTGATGCACTGGCCTGATGGGATTTGGTGAGTAGAGATAAGATGTTCAATAATATTTTATTTTCCATTTCCACTGACAAATTATTTCATCTGTTTTTATTATTGTCCCCACAAAAACCCCCAAAACCTTAATTATTTTACCAAGTAATGGTGTTCGCAGATAATGCATTTCAAAGATCTTATGCCTCTTGAAATTTTTTCCCCCCATTTCATTGCAGAATGAAGTTCCTTGACTGTTTTTTGGCTGTGCCTATTTTAGGGGATGTGTAAGCACACGACTGACACTTTGACATTTCATCTGTCATTATATAAAGATTTATTTCATGTTATGAGAATTGTACATTTCTTTTGCTAAAATTAAGGCTGCAAAATTTTTTAGGAGAATGAATAATGGAATAAATCTTTAGCCATGTACAAAAAGTTTTACTGGAATAAATATTTGTTCTATTTCACAGAGTGAAATTTAGCAGTGATGGAGAAAAGTGAAAACCTTTAAAGAGTGGTTTAAACTTTCTATGAGGAACTACATCAGCTGTATGAATCAATGCAGTGTAATTTCTGATGCATTTCTCTGAGTTCACTACTTGCACAATTGTCTCTTGGCGTCAGAGAGAAGCTGCGAACAATAGCACCTCTGCAAATGGAAAATTGATTGCAGGGAGGGAAGAGCTTTCAGGATTTGAGTAGAAAACACTGAGCTACACAGTCTCAGATATTAACAACAAAGGGACAGTTGCAGTATCGGAGTGAATCGAGGATATTGTTTAGATGATTAAGTCAGGTCCTCCACACCCAAACACATCTATTTTAAAGACACAACTCCACAAAAGCCTGTAAACATTACTCAAAACTAAGAGCACAATGTGTTCAGCTCATATGTTTTACTCTAACAACAATTCATTACACTGCTATTTATTCACTTATTAATTCAATCACAATTTTATGGTATATAAGAGACAAAGATAAACTGTACCATCAGATTTCCTTGACTGGAGCTAAACTATTACAGCAAAGTTGACAAAAAAAGTTTCTTCTTAAATTTCTTATCTTAAATCACATCAGCGTGATACCAAACGTTTGAGCAACGTCAAATTTACAAGAAAATGTTAAATAAAAGGAAAACCGTGTTTTTTGCCCTATAAGTAGCAGGGTTTTTAGTGCATAATTTGCATGGCCTGCGACTTATATGCCGAAGCAACGTATTTATGGATTTTTTTCCCCCATATTTATAAACCCATTTTGGACTGAGATATGACTGTTTTCATTCATTCTGACTGAAAATATTGAACACTATCCAACCATTTTCAGTCAGGTCATCTGGACAGTTTCTTTTATTTGTGCTGAAACGTTTCACCTTCCATCCAGAAGGCTTCATCAGTCAAGGAATCACCCTGAACACTATCATTTTCAGACGCTAGATGGCACTCGAGAAGTATGGCATGCCGTTGTATCATGTAATAGGTAAAAGTGGGTATTAATGACACAATCGCCTTGCCATATTCAGCCACCATCGTCCAGCTTGCTTGGAGCAACTGTCAAATCAGCTTCAATTCATTGTGCCATCCTGCTGAAACATTAAAGTGCATTTATTAAGTAAAAGTTCAACTGAGACACACCTTTACTATAAAGTCGAGCAAACAAACAATTGTTTTAGGTGTTTATCTTCTGAAATTTTGAAGAAATGTG